GCGCAGTCGGAGGGGATGGGAGGGACAGCTGTCAGATGTGGCGCGAGCGTGCCTAGCCTGACCCCCCCCCCTCTCCTCCCTCCCCCTCCTCTCGTTATCCCTCTTCCCCTCCTCCTCCTCCTCCTCCTCCTCCTCTTCCTCCTCCTCCTCCTCCTCATCATCATCATCATCATCCTCCTCCTCCTCCTCCTCCTCCTCCGACTCCTCATCCTCCCCCTCCTCCTCCCCGTCATCCTCTACCGCCTTCTCCTCCCTCTCCTCCATCTCATCTCCTGCTCAGGTTGGCGGAGAAAGAGAAAGCCGCCATACCGCCAAGACGCGTCCTGAGTGAGCATGGACATATGCTGGAGGACCGCCGCGAAGGCCTGCTGCTTCTCCTCGTCGCTGGCCACCTCGAGCTTCTGCTGGATCAGCCTGGAGCCGTACTGATCCGTCGCGATCTCGCCTATGTGCGACGCCAGGCTGCCGAGGTCGATGTTCCCCTGCGCGTGCCTCGCCTTGAGCTGCTCCACCACTGGGTTGCTCGGAGGCCGGGACTTGCCCCCCCCGCCGTGACCGCCGCCCCCGTGCCGCTCCTCCCCGCCGCCAGCCGCGCCGCCGACTCCCCCGCCTGAGCATCGCTTAACCGATTCCAACCCCCACTGGCGTGGCCTCGGCCCCACTGGCCGACTTGCCCACCCAGGTGGGGGGCACCTGCCAGCCCCTTCGGATTTCGCGCGGCCCATCCCCACCCAGGAGGGTGGACTGGCGGGGCTGAGATGCCATGACTCAGTGGGGATGGGGACAGGTTGGACGACGCTGACCGCCGCCTCCCCGCCGCCGCCCGCCCTTGCCCCCCGCGCCGCCCTTGTCCTCGCCGGGTCCCCGCGCCCACGGCGACGCGCCCGCGCCGCTGCCCGGGTCCGCGGAGGGCCTGTCCTTGCCGCGGGGCCGAGCCCGCCTCGCGTCGCCGGCCCAACCCGCGCCGTGGTCCGGCGCCTCGCCCGCCGACAGCGCCTGCGCCTCCGCCGCGGCCACGCCCCCCATGCAGTTGGCCTGCATGGCCGCCGCCATCATCATCTGCTGCTGCCACAGGCGCGGGTCCATCATCAGGTCGTCGTCCCCGAGGCCCCCGCCCTCGCCGTGGCCCTCGCCCCCCAGTGCGTCTGCCCTCGGGCCCACGCCGCCGCCGAGGCCTCCGGAGCCGGTCGCCATCATGCCGTAGCTGGCGTCCGGGCCGGGCCACGGGAACGGGAACATGGGGGAGTCCGCCACCGTGCCCTCTGGCACGCTGAGTCGTCTGGTGGGCTTTCTGTGATCGTCGCAGACGGACCCCGCCCCCTCCTACGTGTGGTGGGCTTTGTGTGATCGTCTCAAAGTAGGGGAGCGAAAAATGGCATAAACATAAAAACTCGGAGGTCCGCGCGGGTTGCTTGGATCCGCGCCAAGGGCAGCGCCGGAGGCGCCGCCAGGGGGCCCCAGTGCCGATCCGAGAAATCCGCGCGGACTTCCGAGTTTTCATGTTTATGCCTGTGTCCGTTCCCCCAGAAAGGCCCCCCCCCGCCCCCCCTCCTGCGCGGTGACACACGTCACGCTGCCCTGTGCGCTCCTCGAACTGGTGGCCACCCGGAATGCTGGGCAGGCGCGGCGGCCGGCCCTGCCGCAGGCAGCCGCATAGGAGCCCATCCCGTAGGCCTGGGCGGGGTCGAGGCCGCCGCCCATGGAGGAGCCGCCCTTCCCGCCCGCGGAATGCCGCCCCGCGGCCGCGGCCCACGGGCCCTCCTGGCTGTGGCCCCACTGGTACACCCCGACTGGCGAGGGCGTCCGCGCGGGCGACCGGTGCGGGGCCTTCCCGTCGGGCGACCGGTTCGGGGCCCGGCCGTGCGCCCGCGAGCCGCCCTTCGGGCTGCCGCTGGGGCGCCCGGACTGCCTCGAGCCCGCCGGGCCCGCAGCCGCCATGCTCGGGTCCTGCACGTGGTACCCGGCGAACGGGGCGGGCAGCACGCCGGCGGGGCCGCCATCGCAGTCGTCCAAGAGGATGTTGCTCGCAAGCTCGCCCTCGTAGCCGCCCAGGTCCCCAGCCATGAGTTCCTCCACCTCGCGCTCCCCCTCCCTCCCTCCCTCGGTGCCTCCTCCCTCCCTCGGTACCTCTTCGAAGCGGACGAGAAGAGGAAGCCTGGACTCAAGACTGGCAGGAAGCCGCGGCGGAGGCAGGACGACGACCCAACAAGCTGTTCCCGCTTCTCCCAGGGCTGGACTCCGGGACCATCCAGATGTGCGCCGCGACTGGAGCGCCAGCCAAATCCTCCCTCTCCCCCTCCCTTCTCGAGGCGGCATGTAGCCGGTTTCTCTAGTGCCTCCCAGCTCCAGAGGCGACAATGTATCGATGAATGCGCCGGGCGGGGACGAAACCAGCTGCATGCAGCAGTCTTCGTACTCCCCCTTCACAGTCCCCCCTTTCGTCCGCCCCGATCCTCCTCCTCCTCCTCCTCCTCCTCCTCCTCCTCCTCCTCCTCCTCCTCCTCCTCCCCCTCCCCCTCCCCTCCCCCTCCCCCTTCCCCTCCTTCTCCTCCTCCTCCTCCTCCTCCTCCTCCTCCTCCTCCTCCTCCTCCGCCTACTCCTCCTCCT